CGGTCAGATATGACTTGTCTGGAGTCAGGTGGAGTCAGTTGAAGTCAGTTGAAATCAATTGAAGTCATTTGGAGTCAAGTGGAGTCAGTTGGCGTGTTGAAGTCTGGAGTCCGCTGTTTCCCCCTTGGATTTTCTGGATAATAATCTGGAAGCAAATACGTAAATCTTAAACGAAAACCATAACGCTAACTAGAAAATAGTTCTAGTAATGAACGTGTTTCAATCACTGTCCGTTGTGGAAATGGGTCGGAAAGATTTAAAGTTACTAAGACTAGAATCTGCAGGGTAATACATTAATGCCTCATATCATTATGCATTTAACTTACCTGCTGCTCTTCTTTAGCAGCAGGTAAGTTAAATTTTGGTGGTATCCGAAGATGTTAAACGAATATCGTCGTCGCCGCGATGCAGCGCGAGGTGAGTATAAAACTGTTTTTTCTATTAAAAAAACATGATTTTTTCTTTTCTTACAGAAAGACAAATCGCCCTCAACCGTCTCTCCACATCAAACCCTACCACTGACTACTCAATAGTCTGATCGTCCTATTACTTCATTTTCCCTTTTTCGTATTTTCTACCGACTGCTTTTTTACTTCGACATAAATAAACTTCCAACTACGATTAAAAGCATAAAACACATAACACATAAGCAACTCATGACACATCAATCAAACATAAAGTGAGCACAATCAAAAGACAAAGATATAGATCGTTTCGATTACTCAAAAAACAAATAACAAAACTCTAAATAGCGATTTTCTCCTTAATGACTTTGTCAAAAGTGAGAAGTAAGATGTGCATTCGATAGAGCATGAAAAGTTCTATCTGGAGCCAGTGAAGAAACGAATCGCCACAGCATTTTCTCATATTTGCCCTTGATCCCGTATGGTCAAGGCACTAATTAGTCATTTTCTCCTGGATGACTTTGTCAAAAGTGAAAAGTAAGATGTGCGATCGATAGAGCATGAAAAGTTATATCTGGAGCCATCAAAGATAGAGTTGGAGTCAGTGAAGAAACGAATCGCGACAGGTTTTGCGGGAATTAGCCAAACTGGCTGTCGGTTTTTGACTGTAATCATGGGTTTTCTCATTGATAGTGTGATCAATTTTTAAAGCGACACCTGGAACAGAAAGAGCTGGTCGAGTACTGCTTGGAGCCAACGGAAGCAGAGTTGGAACCAGTCTGTGGGCGAATCCTTTCAGGAAATGCTCGAATCCTGACCTAGGATACCCTATGTTTCATTTTTTAATTCTGTACGACTTAAATAACCCTAAGTGTAATTCTACTGAAAGTTAGACCTCGGTTCAAAAAGTGACCGTGAAAATACGGACAGATAAAATGCCTTTATGTGTTGATGTCAATATTTTTTCTTGAACTATTTCAACTGTAATTCGTATATCTAACAATACATAATTGCTTATTTTTTTTACCAATGATACAAAATTACTCGTTATACTCATCGATATTATATATATCTAAACAACGACGGATATCGATCATGTATATACTTTTCATCTCTTCACAAGTTCATTCCTGTAGTATTATGAAGATTATAATTCTTCGTTTCTATACGTAGACTAACTCCACGTCTTACACTAGATACGATAAACTAAGTGTACACAATCAATAAGTTTTTCCGTTCTATAAGACGAAAACTCGTTCAAATCAAAAGAAAATCATTATTTCTCCAATATTTGCATGATGATTGGGTGATAATTCAATAGAACGTGATCACAACTATCCATCAGTTAAATATCTCCGATTAAAAATAAGCTAACTGTACTAGAAAAACATAACAACAGTATATGAAAACACAATCATTTGCAATAAAACGTATATACCCTATCTAATACAACTTTCTTCGCACTACTGCATTTTGACCGTTTATATACAATTTTGACTCGTGTTTGGCAGATAGAGCACACTTTGTGAGTGATATTTTTTTCTATATTTTTATCATTTTACTATTCCTTCGTTGCGAAGAAAGCACGTTCTCTTCTCTTGTGACATCCAATACAAAATATGATTATATACAGTAGACAGAGCAAAAAGAAAACACAAGCTGGAAGGTTGTAAAAACAAGAACATTTCTTTTTCATCTGGTATATACTTATGTGGTGTTCTCTTTTTTTTATTATATTTTGTTCTGTGTACAACAGGTTGAATGATCTTGGGCAGAAAAGGCTCTGTTTCGATGTCTAACATAATAAAATGAATGTAGCTGGTTACACTAAAAACACAAAAAAATGTAAATTATGCGCTGCCAATAACGCCGCTATTGTTCAAGATTTAAGTGATTCATATTTATACACTATGATTAATCTTATTCTTAATTTGTGTACAGGTCTATTATAAAACTACTCGATCGTACTGACTTAAATATTAACACAAGTTATTCCATTGTTTGCCTGCATGAATGAATTTTGTAGCTAGAGAAAGAGTTAAAGCTACAGAAAATACTAAGAAAAAAAATCTGCTTATGCAATAAACAGATTTTAATTAAGTGCCATTCATGTAGGTCACAACAATACTAAATTTGAACTGACCTAAGTTTTGCATAAATACAAACGAAACAAGACAGAATTACATCGATAAAGTAGCTATTATCTGAATAGCCAAATTTACTTCCCGGGTTAGGAACCCTCTACTTCGGATGTGAAGACATTGACATGTGATTGTGATTGACATTGATGCAGACATTGACCGAATTGCTACAGAGATAGAATGAATCATCTGTCAAAAAAACACTAGCTTTGTATTGCTTTATCAATTCATCGCTCATGAAGCTCTGGACTGCGGTATAGAATTATAATTGCCTGATCGGATGCTTTCTATTTTTAGACGTCTTGTCACCCTCCTGCACATTTCAACGAAACACTTAAGTGCTTTGTTAAAGACTAGAATAAAAAGAATTAATTGAGCTATTTGACCGTTTAGTTTGACATAATTTGTATTTACGATTCACATCTTTGTTTTTATTTTACCTAAATACGCCACCATTTGTGTTATTTTATCACGATACGCTCATGCTTTTGCGTATTTTACAACATTTTCCTTCTTCTCAACCACTGGACAGCTGTAAGCCAAACTTTATTAGGAGTTTTATTCAACTTTAATCTCTGTACAAGTACATAATCTTCGGATTGGTCAGTTGATTTGTATTTTATATTGTAAAAAATTGTCAACATTTTAGTTTTTGGAAACAAAATATCAAAAAAATGCTTAAAAAGATCAAATTCGTCACTATGTGAAAACGTCGTAAAACGAGCCTTTTAATGGCTATATTAGACATGCAGCAATTATTTCGGTCATATTGATTATTGTTGGTTAACTTATGAAAAGCAACCGATAACTCATATGTGACGATGTGTACCTAACTATATATGGTAGTATGCGTCCGTGCACTTGTAGCATATGTGTTCAGTACCAATGTCATTTTTCAAGTTCTTCTAGTTCTAGGTTCTACATTTAATGAACGGGCTTCTAAATCAGCAAGAAGGATAAGAAGCATGTCACTGGGATCATAGATATAACATAGCTTCATATCGGTACAAAAACTTTCTTAATTTAGTTTCCTACGAATTACTTGGCAGAACTCTTAGTTCTGTGAACAATGCAAACGCCTGAAATCAGTTTTTATATTAATGCAAAATTCACCTAGAAAAGATGTTGGATTACATTATATATTCTGTTGTCTTTGTAGATTATACTACACTTCTACTGTCTCTTCCTTTTACCAGTAGGGTGTCGTGAGAGGAATGCAACGAATAAAAGATCAAACGTTCAAAAATGAACAGCCTAATCCCCATAAGTTCCATTTCACTATTGACGAAGCCAATGAAACTGACGCCCAAACAACAACCAATGTCGAAGTGTCACCATTAAATGATGATTTACGGCAGGAATACCTAACTTCGGAACAGTTACAACAGCTATTTAGTCGAGCTAGTTCCGAATTGGTTGCAAACTACGGAGGAACAAGAGCTTTTAAAACGTGAAGCGTCAATGAAAGCACCGAAAACAAGTGAAGTACTACAAACGCCATTTCCACCCCTTCCACCTGATCGTAAAGAAGATGTAGATATTGACATTGAACAATTAAAACAATTAGCTAAACAAGAAGCAGGCCCATTGATCATTGAACGATATTCTCCTAATGAGAAAGAAATTGATCATGTATTATCAGCAATTACGCTGACATTTAATCAACCAATGATTACTGTTTCATCATTGAATGAAATAATGGATATAGAAAATTCAGGTATTTCTTTAACACCAAAAATAGAAGGACGATGGAGATGGACAGGAACGAAAACAGTTCAATTTGAAGCAAAACATCGTTTGCCTTGTTCAACAAAGTATACATTAAAAGTCAACAAAGAACATTGTGTATCAGCAATAGGCGGTAAATACATCTGAAACTTTAACAGGAATCGGACTTATCCGTATAATATATAATAGTTAAAAAGTTTTACCAAGAGAAGTTATTCATGACCCTAGTTTTGTCACACAGAGAGGTGGAAGTGGATCAGAATAAATGAATTTCTAGGACAGTGTCCGGACGGCTGTTTTATAAGTGCATCGACTCCTGTCCTTAGGTTGAGAAGAGAAGAGATAGAATACGCAAGAACAGTGAAGTGAATCCATGAACATGTCTCACGAATAGTGATGGGCCGTAAGACGCAAGAAGCGTTAATTTTCTAGTATCTGTTCTTTCGTCTCTCGTGACCTGTACATGTAGAGTACAGGTCACGGATGACGATAAAGTCAAAGGAAAGAGAAAACATAACGTGCGACGTTAAGAAAAATGTTTTTCTTACCGTACGCAACGAAGGAGTTACGTATACACAGTGGGCATTTCCTCATAGAGCAGGCAGCATTTTTTGCCGACATAGTTTTTTTGAATCCAAAAGCACTTTTTTATAGGTTTTCGCATACGGTATTTCC